CCTAACTCCGAGGGAGGGTCTCTGAAGGTGAGAGAACCCCACCTGCTCCCCTTTGCCAGTCTGTGGGTTAGGTGCAGCATATTTTCTAGGCCAGGGACATCTTTGCTCCATAGGTGAGGTCTACTCTAGGTCTCTCCTGACCCTATGTTGAGTAGTAACGGGGGCTCAGAAACCTACTGGGGAGGGGGATATGTGTGACCCAGAGAGACAGTCCTGCAGACAGCAGTTGGCTTGAGCCCTTGGGACGTGCCGAGGGCTGGTGTAGGCCGGCATGTTGGGGTTTGGGTGGGCTTCCAGGCTCAGGGCCTTGAGTGTGCGCAGGCAACGTGCTTTCAAACAAAGGCTCCTGGGGTGAGGAGGCACCAGACCAGAGGCTGGATTTTGCCTGTGTTCTTTGTGTGTGGGCACTTCAGCCTGTCTGCATCCCCTGACCCGCACACATTGTCCTGTGGTCAGCTACTCATCAGAAAATTACATCGAAAGGTCTCAGTGGCCCCATAGGACAGCGCACCAGGTCCTGACACACGACTGGTCTCTTCCACGTCCCATGGCTCATCTGGAATAGCATTGGCCGAGGCGTTGCTGTCCACTGTGGCTGCTTCAAGCAGGTGCTGCAGCTGGTAGCTGTTCCCTATCCAACTGGGCTACTCCCCTGGCCTGTGTGTTAGAGACCCCCCCCCACATCTGTGCTGGGGAAGTGGGCTGGAGCTTGGAAGGTGGCCACAAGGTTCTAAAGCTGCCTGTGTAGTGACTCCTTCCCTTTGCTTGCATCATTGCTGTGGCCCCCTGGAGTGGACGCTGTCATGAAGGTGCTATAGGATCCATAGACCGCTCTCAATCCCTGTTTGCTTCCCTTGTCCCTTCTCTGATACCAGCCCCTGGTTTCTTTTCTCCTCTGATGGCCCCCAGTCTCTTGATCTTTGTAGCTATGCATCTGAGAGTAAGGTTAACATTCAGATGGTTAAAATAAGGGACTTGTGTAATTGTGGAGCTGCTTGACTTTTAAGATTTTTATTTATCTGAGAGAGAAAGAACATGATGGTGGGCGGGGGGAGGCAAAAGGAGAGGGAGAAGCAGACCCCTGATGTGGAGCTCCATCCCAGGACCCTGGGATCATGACCCGAGCCGAAGGCAGACACTTAACTGACTGAGCCAGCCAGGCGCCCCTGACTTTTTTTTTTTTAAGATTTTATTTGTTAGAGAGTGCATAAGCAGGGGGAGTGGCAGGCAGAGAGACAAGCAGGCTTCCCACTGAGCAAGCAGCCCAATGCGGGACTCGATCCCAGGACTCCGGGATCACGACCCGAGCTGAAGGCAGACACCTAACTGGCAGCCACCTAGGCATTCCCCCCGCCCTTTTTTTTTTTTAAGATTTTATTTATTTAAGGGAGAGAGAGCACAGGCAGGGGGAGGGGCAGAGGGAGAAGCAGACTCCCTGCTGAGCAGGGAGCCCCATGCGGGGCTCGATCTCAGGACCCTGAGAGCATGACCCGAGCCGAAGGTAAACGCTTCACTGACTGAGCCACCCAGGTGCCCTGACTTTTTTTTTTTTTTAAGATTTTTTTAAAAAAGTAATCTCTATACCCAGTGTGGGGCTGAAACTCATGACCCTAAGATCAAGAGTTGAATATTCTACCAAATGAGCCAGCCATGCTCCCTTTGACCATTTCTTGTACCAGGTACAGGTGTGTGGTTCTCCCATTTTGGACAGTCCTGTTTCTTCCTGATCAGTCAGCTGCCCTCTGAGCTGCTGACTCACAGCTGTATTTCCAGCCAAAGCCCTACTTCAAAAACCACAGGCTGGGTACCCAGGTATCCATGTAGATTTCAACGTCAGCCTGTCCAGTTACCTGGGGCTATCATAACAAAGTATCACAAACTAGATGGCTTAAAACAACAATGTATCATCCCATTTGTGGAGGTCAGAAGTCCCAAATCAAGGTGTTGGCAGGACCATGCTCCCTCTGAAGACACATGGGAAAGGCCTCTCCCAACTTCTGGCAGTTTCAGGTGTCCCTTGCCTTGTGGATGCATCATCCCAAAACTCTGTTTTTATGTTATCTTCCCTGTGTGGGTCTGTCCCTGAGAGACCAAATCACCCCTTCATAAAGGTACCAGTCATATTGGATAGGGCCCACCTTAATGGCCTAATTTTAACTGGATTACCTCTGTAAAGACCCTCTTTCCAAATGTCACATTCTGTGGTGCTGTGGGATAGGACTTCAACATATCTTTTTGGAGAGACACAACTCAATCCATCCTTAACAGTGTCCAAAGCTTGCCTTCCCCAAACCTCTTCTGTAGAATATGTTCATTTTCGTGAATGGCAGCAGCGTCTGCTCAGTCTCCCAGATCAGATCCTGGCTGTGCTGGGTGTCCTCCGAGCCCTGCCCCTTGGGCCCAGATGCTGGCTCTTCTCCAGGCCCTCTGTCCACCTTCCGGCCCACCACCCCAGCCGGCGGCGCATCAGGCACCCCCAGCTGGCCCTGGCTCCTTTCTCTGCTGTCCTGGCAGGCGGGTCTTTGCGTCCACTGGTGCGCCGCACTTCTCGCCGTACCCGCAGCCCCCCTGGGATGGACGTGAGGGACAGAGGGCAGGCATGGCCAGCCCCTTTGGAACCGACCCTGGACTTGGCTCCCTGAAGGTGTAGGCCCTTTACTCACCCCCACTTCTGTTCCCTGTTTTTCTCCTCTCCCTCCCCTTTCTAAGAGCCCAGCTCTTCTGCGATTACATCTGGATACTCCGCTGTCCCTCCAGACCCACGTGGGGCCCGCTGAGGTCCGCCGGCCGGCAGGAGGCGCAGGAGCCCGGCCTCACGCGAGGCGGCAACGGCGGCCGGAAGTCCCGCCCCCGGTGCCCCGGAAAAGGGAGGGAGGAGATTGCGGAAGTAAAAAGGACCGGCCTGGAACTTCGTTTTCTCCTCACCGCGGCTCCGACCCCGACCCCCCGGTGGCACCGCCGACCTCAGCCCCGACCCCGTTCTCACCGCCGACCTCAGCCCCGCCCGCGACCCCCGCTCTCACCGCAGACCTCAGTCCCGACCCCGTTCTCACCGCCGACCTCAGCCCCGACCGCGACCCCCGTTGTCACCGCAGACCTCAGCCCCCGGCCCCGTTCTC